GTCCTTTCTCTACTTTACAGGATCAGGATGATCAGCATGAAGAACACAGGATCCTGAAGGATGTGCTACAGGTTCAGCCTACCATTGACGAGGAATAAAGAAGAATTCAAATCGCGCCCACTTCATCGGTACCATGACCAAGAAGTTAAGAGATCTTGGAGGATGTAATGGGACAACTCGCTGTCAAAGATATGAATCCCGTCGTGCGTTTCTCGAGTTGATTAATGAGATGATATTTATAATTGAAAATAGGGGAAACAAAAAAAAAGAAAAAGAAATGCAAAACAGAAACGTTAACGGTACCATGCACGAGCTTTAATTGATGTGAAGCATTTTTTGTTGAAGCCTGAGATGTATAGAATTAGACGAATTATTATTAATCGTGTTGTTAGAGGATGAAGAAGAAAGAATTTATTGTTATCGTAATTCTAGACGAAAATTCTCTCGGTGTGATGTTTTATTGTCTAAGGATCTTGCCGTCCAGTGATCGTGAAAGTCATTTAAAGAAAAAAAAATAAAAAATAAAAAAAGGCAGGAGACCGAATCGAAGGAAAGTTAAAAATGGGCTAGTACGTGTTTCCCCTGTGTACGTAGGATACAGCGCACTATTTTTGCAAATATCCGTAGTCCGATGTTATAATGTTAATCGAAGTTCCACTGAGCGATGCTTTTTGTCTTCGGCGATAACACATTGTGGAATATACAATCTTTTGCGATGTTTCGATGTAAAGAAGAAGAACGCTAACGTAGCAAATAATGTTGCCTTTTTCAATGGTTAGATAGAATGATTTCAATAATCGTATCGATTAAAATATACGCGAAGCATGTGAGAGAATGGACGTAGAATATTTTTGGATTTGTAGTCGCTACAAATGCTGTTGCAATCTGTGTATGTAATATTCCGCGTCGCACGATGTTTTAATCTCACCAAATGATATACAAGCGATCGATAGGAGAATGAAGCCGCGCACAATATTATTAATTCACTGTTTAGCACTTAAGAGCCCCTATTTTGTATGTTTCTTTCGGACCAAATGCCAATATTTCTATTGTATCATATCACGCGCCGTCGTAACAAGTATCTCGAGACATAGTTCTTTCAGATCGATTCTTTTTGTACATGTCATAATTTAGATGACCACGAGGACCGTGTGTGAAATTATTGTAATGGATACGCAATTATACAATGTATTTACGTATATTCCATTTATATACAAAATAGCTAACAACGTGAAAATTGGACGTCCAACGCGGTCCACTTGCGTTCGATATTTCTGTACGTGCAATTTCAAATTGTATTTCTTTTCCAAATCGTCGTAAAATTACGTCTCCTTCCCCTATAATGCCCTAATCTTACGATTAATCTGATTTAATCGAGCAATGCGAAAGGATTTTGAATAAATGTGTAAGTTCTCGCGCCCGTTGCAATCAGGCGCAAACGATGTGAAACTCGCGTTAATTAAGCAATTGTCATTGTCACTCGTACTATCGATGTTGAAGCGTTGAAAAATCGTCATAGCGTCTATTGTTAATTGTCTGTCTGAAATTATAAATGTCAATCGAGCCGGTGGCCCGGGGAACTGTTTTTTTCAATTGTTCTCGGACAGTCGAGCATTTAGAACGAATCCGTCATCGTTCAAGATACGTTTGTGCATGCACTATTAACGCATAGGGACCACCTTCATTCAGACTCCCCTTACACCTTAAAAGAAAATGAAGAAAAAGAAAAAAATATATTATACAAATATACCGAATCAGGAAAAAAAACGACCTGGAGAAATAATACACCTCATCGAATCGAATTATAAGTGTATTTTAACATAATACTAGTCATTTACAAGTTAGATGAAGTTACGGATATCGGATATAAGTGTATAGATTTTTATTCTACGAACGCTGCGTCGAGAATATTTAATTATTATTATTAATATAATTATTATATTATTGACACATAGAGTAATTACATGGAAAAGAAAGAAATATATCGATGATATTTTTGTGTCCAAAAAACGCCAGTAGGGAGTACCGCGAATGTGAATGAGTGAGAGAGAAAGAAAGAACGAGAGAGCGGGAGAGAGAGAGAGAGAGAGAGAGAGAGAAAGAGAGAGAGAGAGAGCAGGCAAGAGAGCGCGTCTGAATGTTTCTCCGTTATTTGTAACGATATATGGTCGTCTTTATTCTTGTAATCCGTGTTTCACTAGAATATGTAAATATGTATATTATACAATAATGAAACACGATTATATACTCATTAAACGAGATTGTTTTATTTTGTACACCTCGCGTACGAGCCATTTAATTACATTCCAAAACGCGTTTTTTCGAAACAATCAAGTTACAGCTCGCGTATTTACGATTTTCAGTTGTGCAATGAACGATCAGTTAAAGTTAAAAACGATTTATCACGAGTTGTTTAATCGATACTTTGCGTTACCACGAGCAATACATTGGCGTTTTCGCGTTCGTGCTATGATCTTGCCGTTTCTCGATCAGTTAGCCGGACACAAGCTGCTATTTTCGCTTTAAAGGGTACTGTCAATTTCTATTATCGTGTAACACGTGTTGCATACATTTCGTTTCCAACATCAAGTAGATACATTTTTCTTCGAAGAATAATTTACCTTGGAATTCTTAAGTGAGTTAAGTATCAAACCGATTAACAATTTGTTTTATTGACTGACAGCACCAAATCTTTGGAACCGACTAGCTGTATTGAAAAGGTAACCTATTTACATTGTCATATTTACAATATTATAGTATTATCATATCACGAGAAGCGATAAACATACTCTAGAATTAATTAACTTCATTATTCTTATTAATGTTTCCAATATCTTATAATGAAAATGATAGTATCTCGTGTTACCAGTAATACAATATGTAGAATGTCTGTCACTGTAACGTTATCTGAACGTCATATGAATCCCTTTTAGTAACCATATTAATTCTTAATCACTAACGTGAAATATAACATATTACGTGATATATTTCCTCATGTAGCTGAAAAAGTACACCTTCTGAATTTGAAGTTTTACATTATTTTCTCAAAATTCTGTAAAAAAATTATGAATCGATTATTTTAATCACACTGGTAGAGTCTTCCAGCCTATCGTTAAAGACTATGATGTTTATCGCTCGTCGCATCTCATATAAATAAAGTAATACATGCTGCAAGAAGCTGAAAGTGGTCACGTACTCTTTGTTCCAAGCTTTCTGAGAAAATGGTTCGGCTGCACGTGAAGAAAGGCGACGAGAGCCAGTTTCTGTACGACACACTCGTGGAGGCTCGGATTGAAGACATTATATACGACATTACTATTATTTACAACGGTCGGCTGAAAGTCTCAAGAATATGTTATGGTAATGATCGCTTGTATCTCGGAAAGGGGGAATCAGATCGAGAAAGATGACATATCTAACAGCGTGGCAAAAGAAAACGTTCGCTTGTCGGTGGAAAGTTACACTTTATTTAGGCACAGTTGACTGCGGGATCGCAAGTTAAGTGGCATGAGTTGTCCCGAGGTAACAACGTAAAACGCATTATTACCGTTTTCTCGGCCTTTTTATTTTCACGTGCATGTAACGGCCTCTCGCAAACCGAATGCGTACGATTTTATCGAGTATTACTACGGGCCGCACGAATGCCAATGATTTCATTGACGATAACAAGTTACGTATCCCTTCATTTATTCTCCGATTGTGCCATTAATCCAATGACATGTTTTAACATTGTCTACATGCTGCCGCTTATTTATAAATTTTTCTTGACCAGAGAGATTTTACGTCTTTATTCTTTGTTATCTTCGAACTTGAACATTTCTGGATATTGAAGGAACTTTTCAAATTTGGGATTTTTTTTAATATAATGAATGTTGTAGGACTTTTTGTTCTTAAATGTTTATATATATATAGACTTGTATAGCATTCCAAATTTATAAATCTATATTAAATTACAAAGACGTTAATACCAAAAAATACTAACAATTTCCACCCAACGACTGATTGACCTTTCACATAGATCCGCGAAAGAGAATAACAATTTACGATCAATTAAATACAGCTAACCAAGGAAGCAATTCTCCATTAGCAATTACATACGTTCTTAAAGCAATGAATTATCATTTGTACGTGGTCGTATGTTCACACGAGTACTAGTAAGTCGAATCTCGACGATTTTTTTACCATTTCCAATGGACTCTTCTGCTTCGTTATAGTCGGTCTCGGTTCCTGTACGGAACGCTAACGCGAGAAATCCATTAACGATTATCTCTCGTGGAAGGCCTCACCCGCGGCTCGTAATAACAGCGCGTAATAAGAAGTGGAGGGCCGAGTTTATGAACCCATCCATCCTGCGCACCATGTAATATTAGTCACACGTCGCGCCGGGATAATAATTACGTGGAGTTACGCTTAACCGTGCACCATGGTCTGTGTTTTTCGAAAAATAGAAATCGAGGAGCTGATCAAGCACGGCACCATGCTGCCCCATGACATGATGGGCCTCACCGACGAACAGGTTGAGGAGCTGAAGCTCAAGGACGAGTGGGGTGAAAAATGCGTGCCGATAGGCGGATGGACCTTTAACAAGGACGTTATAGGTACGTGGAAACGTATTTAGCTCCTTCAGAAGGATACTGGCATGTATGCGCATATTTATATTTAGCTTTTTCACATTAGTAGACGAAACAAATAGTACCTACACATTTTGCCATAGAAAGTCGTTCATAAACGACATTTTAAATATGGTTATTTAACAATATGAGGTCATTGATGGAAATTATACGGATTCTGTAGAATTCATTCTATGAAACATCCTTTCCGTGGATGTGAAAGAGTTAATTTATAGAATTTTATAGATATAATAGGATTCAAGAGTACTATTAATATTAAATGAAATATCTTGTGTGCATGAAATTTGTTTACGAAGATCTAACTACAATTTTATCGTCAATGATTATGTACAATGTACATTATTTTTCTTAGAAATGCTAAGATAGTTAGGAATTATAAATTATATAAATCAAAACATATATACCTAAAAAAAAAGTTAAAATATCGTAAAAAGGTGAAGAATTTTTTGATGACAAATTATATTTTTAATCTCGTATATACAAGCGACGGACTTTTGAGCCAAGGGAAGGGAATAACGATGCAGTTTATTTTACGCCGTTCTAAACGGCCGCGCTTAGGGCGCATGCAAATATATGGTTATCGGGAATGGAGCGTGCAACGCAGGCGAGAAATTGGCTCAACCAGGATTTTTGTTGCTTCGAATGGGCTTGTAATCGTTGCATTAATTGCTTGCCAGTCCCAGCCAGAATGTTACCACGAGTGGTTTCCATGTTTCAGGCCGCAGAAATGGCAAACAGCCTAACGTGAAGATGCAGGAGGTCTTGAAGAAAACGATCGAAGAGGCACGAACTATGGTTTCGAAGGTAATTTTCATCCTATATGTCTGTGTGTATGTGTATGTTCCTCGTTTCTTGTTTTTATCAACTGAAGGATAGACTTTTCTCGTTTTCGCCCTATGTGTTCTACTAATGTGTTTCTGGCGTCTTTTCTCTCGTTTTTGGACTTCGTAGAAGTTGGTGCAGCAAGAAAAGCTGGTGACACAGAAAACCGTGCAAGAGGCATTGGACATTCTAAGGGGTGCCGTGACGATTGTTTATCCAATGGGGCTTCCTCCTCATGATATTATCCGTCAGGAATTCGAGAACACGGAGGATTTGAGCGGCACTCAAGCATCGCTCGAGGTCAGAGTTCGAGTTTATTTGACTAACATTTCAAATAGATAAAATCGAATAAAATTTTATTTAAATGATACTTGAATAAATAAAAATTATTTGAAAATAACAAACCATTTTTTATTTATATAATTATTGGTAATTGTTCGATTAGAACTTTGTAGATGCTATAGGATACATTTGATGGTCGCAGGTTATAGATGTGCAACTGGCACAACTTTGGTTCTCAGGAAAAGAATTATTACCAGGGACGAAATTAAAGGATTATGTCGGGATGAACGAAAAGACAAAGATTATTATCAAGCTACAGAAAAGAGGAGGCGGAAGACCTGCTCGTGAACCATTAATGTCAGAAGAGGAAAGGAAACAACTAATGCTACACGCCTATAAGCGACAGGAACAGCTCAAGGTAAGTGAAGCTTCCGTTTTGTTGATAAAGTAGTTTTCTCTTTTGTACGTACATATATTTGAGTTGCAACTTTGAAACGTTACCTATAATAGATTTCTGAAATAATTTAAAGACAAAATTTAAATTTCCCAATTTGCACTAATATACATTGTTTTCTGAAAAGGTGATATTGTGATAGTTGATGTCTACATTTTCTAATGTACTAATCGATGCTAACTATTAATTGTAAGTTACGTTATTGATAATGTAATAGTACTAAAGACATATCCCATAATTATTAAGATGTTTGTACAAAACAAGAAAACTATTTTCTATCTATACCTTGCATGTTAGAAAAATATCTACTGACGGTAAGTATTACATATCTTCCCTTTCAATGAGTAAGTATTTAAGTAAGTTTCATCATCCACTCTTATTATTTCACATTGTACTATATATTATTCGAGTATAGTACTGAAAAGTAGAAACACAATACAATGTACTTATTTTCTCCTAATTCTGGGAGGCATTGAAGCTCACGTATCATTTTAAGCCTTGTCATCTTCAACGTTGCCGATTCAGTATAGAATATGTAAAATTCCAATGTTATCAGTGGTTGGGAAAGAAATTAAATGTTGTTATGAAATTACCAATAAGATATGCATAGAACAGAATATTTTACTATTAAAAGTAAACTAGAGAATTTTGTATCTTTACAGTGCTCGTACATTGTACGTCCTTGTTTTATATATTATAAATATTATGAAACAGTTGATTGGAACAGTAATTCTCATCCACTCTTTTCTACGTAAGGTTTATTAATCTTCAAATAAATTTTCCTTTTCTTATACATACATTTACGAAACAATCAATCCTTGCTCGTTATGCGAAAAAACAACCTAAATCTTAAAAAAAATTGATTAAAAAATCCTAAGGATAAGATTTTAATTAAATCTTTTCAAGTGGTTAGTCATGATATGTGCTGAAGAAAAACTAGAGTATAGTTAACAATATACTAATTAACAAATATTCTCGTTGTACACTTTGCGTAGAGCTTGCGATTACATTAGCGGTTCGCGCTTCGCGCTTCGCGGTTACAAGTTCGACTTCTAGACAATGCGTTACAATAGCGATTCAGCAGAGTGTGCGGAGCGAGTTCGGATGATGATTGCGTCGAGGGACCTAGTCAACTATCGACTACCAACAAACGACTGCTAACTGGAGACTATCGATTGACGACTCGAGACTCGACTCTTGGCTGACTTTCCGTCACGATGATGCTGCAGAAGAAAACTATGATGGGTGTGTCTAAGGATACAAGATCATCGGCTTCGTCGACGAAAATTTTCATTAGGAAAGTGAGGAAAATGGACGTTACTGTTAATTAGTTAATCTCTAGGTCGGTAGTTGAGGAAAGATGCTAATCGCCCTCGAGAGAATTTTGCTAATGGGAAGCATCGTACGTGAGAAAAACCATATTTTCCGTATCTTTCTATAGTATGTAATAAACTTTAGGAAATGCTAAAACAAAGGATATTTGCTCGTTTGAAGAACCTTAGTTAGAGAAATCCTAAGGTTTATAGCGGGTCTTTAGGTTAGGTAGAAAATATGCTATAAAAATGTTCCGACGTCTGGCAATCATCTTGTTCGATGGATAGAGTCTTTGTCGAGTGCCGCTACAGTACCCCCTTACGTTAATCTTTTTTTTTACACAGGTAGATCTTATGTACTAACTTATCTACAACCTGCCTACAAAGTGAACTTTCCTGCCCGCGCGCGTGGTGTAATGACTTCTTGAGTCACCTTCGCTTTGCTGCGCTCGTTTAGTATTTTGCATTGTTGGGGTTTTGCGCGATGTGAACACGTCGTGGGTTCCTGCGCTATTTTCGAGCTGCTGATGTTCGATATCGTCGGTTACAATAAAAGTGGGTTTTAATCGGTTTATGGATACCTTTATATGTTTATTGTTTATTTCTATTGTACAATTTTTTTCGCCTTGCTGTATCACCTTATATGGCCCGTCGTAGGGTGGTTGTAAAGGCAGCGTAAAAATACATAGGGCGATATTTTTAGTTAGCGGAAAACGAAAGTTTTCTTCGCGCCGTGTCGTGTGATCGGGTGTGGTCTGATTTTTTCTATCCGTTCTTTTAAACGATTTGCTTGTTCGGAATTGGCCTGTTGCTTCGCTGGTACGAAGAATTCTGCCGGCAATCGTATGCCGGTGTCATAAACCATTTCGGCTGCCATTGCATTCAGATCCTCCTTTATAGCAGTTCGTATCCCCAATAAAACAATTGGCAAGATTTTTACCCAGTTGCTTATATCGTGGCATTTGATTGCTGCTTTCAGTTGATGGTGCAAACGCTCTACCATCCTGTTGGACGCAGGGTGTTAGGTCGTCATGCGCAAATGCTTAATGCCGAGCAACCGGCATAATTCCTCAAATAATTTTGATTCGAATTGGCGTCTTTGGTTATGATGTTATTTTAAAAGATACGCCGAAACGAGATATCCATGTAGAAAGTAGGGTCGAAGCAACGATTGCTGCTTTTATATCAACGATGGGAATGGCTTCGGGCCAACGCGAAAAATGGTCGATACACGTTAGACAATATCGATAGCCTTGCGAATACTGCATCACGATAATGTCTATGTGTATGTGTTCGAATCGGCCTAACTCTCCGAATGTTCCGATGGGTGAGGATATGTGCCTGGTGACTTTACATTGTTGACACGAGATACATTGTAGTGTTTAAGTTCGGTAATCCTTGTTTATCGAAGGCCAGACGAAACGCGTCGTCACCAATTTTTGTGTAACACGTATCGCTGAATGGGAAAGTTCACGTAACGAGTTAAATACGTTGCGTCGCAAAGATTTCGGAACATACGGTCGTACGGTGTCGTCCGATACGTCGCAATATATTTCTATGTCGTAATCGAGAAAACGTATCTTTTTTAGATGTAACGCGTATGTATCGGATTTGACTAATTCGCGTAGCTCGATGTCATTTTCTTGCGCAGCGGCGAGCGTTTGGCGATCTACGGACTTTCCTATCGCTGGGATGCGTGGCAGAGCGTCGGCTACATCGTTGTTTAGACTTTTTATGTGATGAATGTCGGTTGTAAATTGACCAATATAATCTAAATATCGAAATTGTCGCGGCGAGCATTTCTCTAGATTTTAGTTGTATGCATTGTCAAGGGCTTGTGATCGGTGTATATTGCAAAATTTCTGCCTTCTACGGCCTTCTGTCGAAAACGTTTGACCACGGTGTACATCACGAGTAGTTCGCGATCATACGCGCTATATTTTCGCTGCGCGGGGTCAAGGATTTCGTGACGAACCCTAGCGGCTGCCATTCGTCGTTCGTGCGTTGTTGCAATACTGTACCTATTGCGTAATCGGACGCGTCTACCGCGAGGCTGACGGGCGCACCTGGTATCGGACGCGCTAGCATTGTGGCGTTCGCGAAGGCACGTTTTGATTCGCGAAAGCTGTTATCAGATTGTTCCGACCACTCAATGGGCGCGTTGCTCTTTTTCGCACCTTTTAACAGGTCATTAAATGGCTGAAGTATTTTCGCGGTCCCCGGTATGAAATGTCGGTAGAAGTTAATCATACCGAGGTACCTACGTAGCTGCTTAACGTTCGCGGGCTTCAAAATATTTACGATCGATTCGACACGTTCGGCCAGCGGCTTAATTCCGTCGAAGTTTACCATATATCCGAGGAATGTGATTTCGTGCGCGCCGAATTCGCATTCCGTGCGGTCTATCACTACACCGTAATCGTTGAGGCGGTTGAACAGGATTCGCGAATATTCGCGATGTTGTTTTTCGTTTTCCGGAGTTATGAGAAAGTCATCGATGTACGCGTAGACGAAATCGAGACCACGTGTGATTTCGTCGACGAATCTCTGACGTGTTCGCGCGGCGTTCCGAAGTCCAAACATCATGTTGGTTGCTTCGAAAAGTCCGAAAGGTGTCGTTATCGCGGTTTTCTCGATTGTCTTCGGGCGCAATCGGAATTTGATGATATGTGCGAACAAGATCGATTTTTGAAAAGCTATTCTTACCATGTAGATGTTGCGCGAAGTCTTCGATATGTGGCGGCGTGTACCTGTTGGGTACGATGCGAGCGTTCAATGCACGATAGTCGCCATATGGTAGTAGGTTCCCATCCTTCTTCACGCCTTGCTCGATCATCGTTTCAAACTCTGCTTTAACCTGTTGAAGTCGATCAGATGCGAGGCGGCGGGGTTTGCTATAGACAGGTGTGCCGGGTGTGGTTTCGATGTGGTGTATCACATCGTGTCGAGTCTTCTCTCTTCCGAAAACCGGTGGACGAGTTAGGTCTGGAAATTCCGCCAAGAGTTGGTGGTAAACTGATTCGCCGATAATAGTTTTTATCGATACTTCGTCGGCCGTGCCAGCGTATCCCATTGATGACAACTGGGTTGTCGTGTCGAGGAATTTTTTCTTTCACGGGTCCACGAGCAATCCATAGCGGCTCAAAAAATCCATGCCGATGATGGGCACTTGGACGTCGGCTACTGTAAAACGCTATTTGAAGGCTCGTCTTAGGGACAGGTTTAGGTTAATCGCGATGGTACCGTATGTTGCGATCCGCGTTCCGTTGGCCGCGAACAGTTCGTACTCGCTTCTGTTCGCGGGGCCATGTATTTTGTTGCGCGGATATACGCATATGTCGGCGCTGATGTCCACTAGAAAGGAGATGTTTGAGTACCTGTCCATCACGAATATACGGCGGGATACTAGGCCGTCATCGCTTGCCGCGTTTACGGACGGGTGGTTCAGTTTCCCGTATTCCAAGTGCATGGGGAACGGCACTTCTTCGCGCGTTCTTGAAATGTGTGGAATGCGTGGTAGTAACGAAGTCCGAACTGTTGTAGTCAGTCTCTTGAAGTCGATCTCCGACGACTCCGGCTTCGTCTTTGTAGCAGAGCGGGTACTACCTAGACTCAGCGCATTTATTTGCGCTTGCATTTGGGTCATCCGTTCGCTCAACACGTTGATGGTGGTGGCCAAAGGATCGCTTGCTCCGACGTT